GATAGCAGATAGCAGACAGAGANGAGAGAGAGAGAGAGAGAGAGGAGCAATGCTCATCTCTGTGTTCTTAGCTGTGCCCTGAAACTGCTTGCAGGTGGAACAGTTGGAACCATTTTCATTGTAGGATCGACGAATGGACCATCAAGAAAACGGGTAATCAATCGTTTTTATTTACTTCATTTTATATTCTTCTTTTTGTGGTTTTACGGATTCAGCCCTTCTCTTTGCAAATTGTCTTGCAGCGGATGCTCTGGTTTCCACAGGTCTGGCGGCCCTCGGCTATAAATATGTGAACATTGGTCTCTCTCTCTTCTTTTTCTTCTGATTCAGTCCTATAAATATGAATTTTCTCTTCTCTGACTCTTCTAACAATGGGTTATTTTATTGCTTTCCTCAAGGACATTGCAACATTTTTCATAGACCTTTTTAGTCTTTTCAAACGATAACGATTGTTTCCTAGCTTCTATTTAAAAAATTGACTGAAATATGAGCAGATGATTGTTGGGGTGAGGCAAATAGAGATTCAAGGGGCAACCTTGTAGCCCGAAAGTCCACTTTCCCTTCAGGAATCAAGGCTCTTGCAGATTATGTCCATAGCAAAGGCATGAAACTTGGGATCTATTCCGATGCGGGGTAAGCCCACTTATCTATGAATCTTTTCTTTCTCTCATTTTTAGTTCGTATGTTTCTCTCGCTATCCCTATTCCTAAGAATCCCTTTCTCACAACTGCTGTTCAGTTAATGTGTTTCTTTCTCTACCCATTTTTCAGTTATAGAACTTGCAGCAAGACAATGCCTGGTTCCCTCGGTCATGAGGAGCAAGATGCGAGGACGTTTGCCTCATGGGTAATTTTGCTGCATTTGTTGTTTTCCGATAAATTGATTATGTTTTATGGATCCAATAAGTTGGGCTGTTAATTTTTACATTGTGAATTTAGATTTTGGTTTTCTTTCTTCTATCCTTATAGCTTCTTGTCATTTACTTCATAAAGCAATTTACACAATTTTACAGGGTGTTGACTACTTAAAGTATGATAATTGTTACCATGATGGTTCCAGTCCTCAAAACAGGTAACAGTTTTCCGCTTGGTTCTATTCGTTCTGTTCCCTAGACTCTGGCATCAATGTAGTTCATCCCCGTTTATCTAGGCCATCGTCTTCTAAATATTATCTCTTGAGTATCCTGTGTCCTCAACTTTTTACCCCAGGTCCACTTATTGAATTTACATTTCCTCTCTTATTTATTGTTTTTTGTCAATCTTGATTTTTGCAGATTTGCCAGGATGAGCTATGCACTAAGGAAGGCTGGTCGTCCTATCCTGTACTCTATCTGTGAGTGGTAAGCATTGTATTCTGCACTTCCCTTTGTTTTGACCAACCATGACATATGTATGTTCTTTGCAATTCTCCATCGCACAAAGAAATGGTGCCACTGTACCTGTTTGTCTGCATTTGATAACACGTGTTCCTTTTTGGAAAATCAAATCCAATTCTTAGTAATAACCTTACGAGAGTTGCTTTTTACGTAGCTCGTTGAGTCAAACTCTAAGCAATAGCTACGCACACGTCTTGTTCATTTTGTTTCTTCTAAGTTTCATGATTCTACTCTGACCCATTTGATCCGATCTTTTGAATGAAATGTTGTTCTTACTGAAGGGGGGAGCAGAATCCGGCAACGTGGGCTGGTACGTTAGGAAATTCTTGGCGAACTGGTGGAGATATTCAAGACAAATGGGAGAGGTATAAATGCTCTACAAGCTGTTCTCTCCTGCTTTTGGTTTTCACAAACTGTTGCATCTATTTATACTCATTTAAAGCTTAGAACATGCCTTGACTAATTAAATTGGCTTTTATTTTTTTGTTCTATTTTTCTAGTATGACTTCAGCTGCGGATCAGAATGATGCTTGGGGAAGGTTTGCAGGGCCTGGAAGATGGAATGGTATGTCATGGGTGAAACATAATTTGTTGTTTGAGTTGGTTCCTCTCCCATTTTACTTGAATGCTCAAATGATTACAGATTTTTGCATCTATACTTAATGACTGTATTACCCTTTCTGCTGTAGGTACAGTATCTTTCCTTTTCCTCTAGACTATTTTATGTACATTTCATGCGTTTGTGTAACAATAGAAGATATTAGAAGACTAAAATGCCCTCGTTTTAACTGTAACCTTCTCCTTTTCAAATTGTTGTTATATGTCCAATAGTGATTGTCCACCAGAAACTAATGCCTATTTGTTGTCAGTGCTATCAAGAACAAAATGACAATCTGCTTATGCGTAGCTAATCACACTTGATATTTTGTTTGTGTTATTGTTCCCTTAGCCACTACAGTACAGGTATGGCAATAAACCAATCAAATTACCTAACTTCAATTTCAGAAAGATATATGTAGAGTTATAATCAACAAGAATGCCTTAATCTTTCAAAACATCTGGGGCCCTCAAATATTAGGATGTATTTATGTCACTGAAAAGACTAGTAATGTAAGTATTGCTATTGTCAAACAACTGACGCTTCCCCCACTTGCAGCATGCAATGAAGAAGTTTAATGTGTACTCATATGTTTATGCCTGAGCGCGGCATCATACCCTGCCTCAAGTTCCCTAACTTGGAAGCACCTGGGAGTGCTTCTGAAGGAACACCCATTTGTCCATATCTATATATAGTACGTATGTTTATAGAATATGGGAAAATTGTAAAATATATATTTCATCCTTTAATATTCTATACATATACACAACTGAAATCCATTGTAAGATAGTAGCTCACTGATATTATGGTGGCAATGCGATGAGACACATCAATATAGTTAAATAATCAATAGATATTTATTAGTAGATAGATAATTATAAGTGGTACATTCTTACTCCTTAGATGCCTGTCTGTTAGGGTCCAAGATAAGATGAAACGGGTTCATGCACTATCAGTTTATCACTTTATCTCCTCCTCTTAACTACCCCAGCCAAAGCAGAATGTTAATGCTCCCATGCTTGAGCTTCAAAATGTTATTAATTCTAGTTGTCTCTGCTTTTCATAGGTTTTGGCTTCTTTAAAAATGAACTGTTTATGGATTGAGATGAACAGAGTCAGAGTCCTACTATAGTAGGCTTTTGAAATCCCAGAACCTCTGGGATTTCAAATGAATCATGAGATTGTAATCATGGTATACCGGAATGGGCTCCCATGACCAATGGTGCTGTATTGTTGCGATCCTTCATGTTGAGGAACACAATTTTAAGCAATGGAGAATCATGCTCCTCCAAGGTCTTGGTTCAGAAGCACCGGATCAAGGTCCGATAGCCGATTGCCTACTGTCTCCAGTCTTCCCATAACTATGTCTCTGGTTTTGAAGCAATTTATTTGCTAAGGCAATATAAAGGAATACAACAACTGAGCTCTATCACATATGCTAGTAACATATGCGGATCCAAGTAACAATTTTAAGTGATGGCAAGTTGTGTTCCCCCAAGGTCTTGGTTTAGAATCACCGGATCAAGGTCCTGTAGCAGGATTCCCTACTGTCTCAAGGCTCCCCATAACTATGTCTCTGGTTTTGAAGCAATGTATTTGCTAAAAAAATGTAGAGGGATACAACGACTGAGCTGTCTCACAAATGCTAGTAACAGATGCGGATCCAAGTAAAGGTCCATGTTGAACATACTTAGGTTTCCATCTATTGGAATTGATTGACTGAAGAAATCATTCTATCAATATCCATGCCTCATGCATTTCCAACAGTCTCTAGTATTGTTAATCCACTTACAAGTTTACAAATACAAACATTTTTATTGGTGCAGAGTGTGGGTTCCATTTGAGAATTCTCCCTGAAGCTTGAATCACTTCACAAAGTTCTTGTTGCTAGCTTGTTTCACTTCTTTAATTTCAAAGAATGACCATTTTACAGGTTCAAGTAAAAACCTCTAATGTTTGACTCTTGAAATTTTCTTAGAAAGGCAAGAGGAAGGTGGATAGTCCTCATCGGGATGAGCACCATGTTATCAAGATTTTAAGGATGCACTAAAACATTAAAAAATACATTAAATGTCCAGAAGTGCTTAACCAGCAAATAGTCGTAGGACCCAAGAGAGAGAAGAAAGGGGCAATAATGTAGTGAGGGGAATTATTTGGGTTTTATTTTTTTATTTCAATTGTTATTTCTTTATTTCATTAGGGGCAAGTTCAATCATCCATATTCAAGTTAAAAATGGATGGCTATGATTAAATAGGATGGATGGCTAGGATTTTATAGGAGCTTTTTAGGGTCATGAGTTATTTAAGTACTTGTTATTGAAGGGTCTAGGGAGTTCAATTGTTATATTTCTGCAGAGAAATTTTGGTGAATAAAACTTTGGGAGGTGGATTCCTCTTAGTTTTGTGATTTTCTCTTTCATTCTCTACTCTTGTTCTCTTTAAGGATTGTTATCTATTGGAGCTCTCTACGAATTAAGATGCTGAAATTTGCATCAATTGGTATTAGAGTGAGTTCCAATGGCTTCAAAATAGACACCCCTCGAAGGATTAAATTTGTTGACTCAAGTAGTTCAAGCCCTAAAGGAGAGATTAAACAAACTCATGGCCTTAGCTGAGAGAGGTGATGAGCTCACATAACAGGTCGGTCAGAATCTGGAGACCGGTATTGGAACTCAAGGTAACAGAGCTGAAAGAGGTATGCATTTCGTTAACCAACCACGGGCAGCTTCAGTTAATGAGGAATTCATTGAATGAATTCTTCGGTTGTTGGAAAGAAAGAAAGAACCTGGATTCAAAATTGAAATTCCAGAGTTCTATGGTCAATTTCTTGTGGATGATTTTCTTGATTGGCTAAGTAAAGTAGGGAAGGTATTTGAGTATAAAGATATAGTAGATCACAAAATGTTTTGGCCATGCTTTCGTTTGGTGGGATAATTAGCAAGATCATCTCTGACAAGGCAAGGAAAAAATTAATTCATGAGAGAAGATGAAGACGAAGCTGCCTCGAAAGTTCTTACTAGAAAATTATGCCCGAACTTTGTGGCAAAGTTGTCGAAACCTCAAGCAAGGAGAAAATTCGGTGAGTGAATATACTGAGGAGTTTTTTATTTTGACATCTAGGGAAAATTTATAAGAGTATGACGATAAAAAAATGTCGTTACTTGAGTGGGCTAAATCATGACATTAAGAATGAATTAGCATTCAAACATGTTTAAGATGTTGTTGCCTACACTTTGGCCCTCAAGGCAGAGGAAATAGTATCTTGGCCTTGGGAGGAAGAATTTAGTCACAAGAGGCTCTACTTCAATATAGGGACAACAAGCTTTAACCTTTAGAAAACCACCAATGGGGTGTGGGAACCAAACCACTCAATGTTTCTCAACTAGGCCAAACCCTAACATGGGTGGAGGTGGTGTTGGGAGAGATGGGGGAGCACCTAAATCTCCTCATTAAGATACTCAAATTGTATGTTTCAAGTTCCAATAGCCTGAGCATAGGGAATACAATTGCCCTTCATGTCAACCCCATGTCAAAGTTAACTTGGCATAAGAAAATTATAAAGTAGAAGCCGATGAAGGATACACCTATGAGGGCTAAGGTGATATTGGGACGAGCTAATCTTATGAAGGGATTGAACCTTTCAAAGGTGAGATTGACGATTTGTATGGAGATGAAGGAGGTGAAGTCTTAGTTGTTCCGCGAACCATGCTATCAACCCCAAGACCTTGTGATGAAGAGAAGTGGCTACAACACAACATTTTTCGAACAACTTGCACATCGGGAGACAAGTTGTGCACAACGCTAATTGATGGTGGGAGCAGTGAAAATATTGTATCTAGAGAGATGGTGGATAAACTTCAATTGAAGGAGCATAAGCACCCACACCCATATCAAATCTAGTGGTTCAAGAATGTGGGTAAGGTACTAGTTCTTACTTAATGTTTAGTCTCTTTTTCTGTTGGTGCTAATTTTAATGATGCAGTGTGATCCGATGTAGCATCTACGGATGCCTGTCACATATTACTTGGTAGGTCATAGCTTTATGATTGTGATATAGTGCATGAAACTAGACCAACCACTTATTCTTTTGTCAAGGATGGCACTAACATCACACTCCACGGTATGAAACAACTTCTTACACCCAAATCCACTAAAGTGGTGGGTTCAAAGTTGCTTAATGTGAAAAAATTAAAAGGGAGTAGCAAGAATGGATGTGATTTATGTGTTTCTTGCAAAAGAAAATTTTGCAACTACTACAATTCCTAAGTCTCTTGAGCCTCTACTTGAGAAGTATATAAAGACTTGATGTTAGAAGAATTGCTTGATGGTCTTCCTTTCAACATCACATTGACTTGGTGTCTTGTTCTAACCTACCAAATTTGGCCCATTATAGAATTGATGAAACATGAGGAGTTGTACAGACAAGTTTTTGATTTACTTAAGAAGGGATTGATTAGAGAAAGTATGTCACCATATGTTGTCCCTGCATTACTAACTCCCAAAAAGGATGGGTCATGAAGGATGTGCGTGAATAGCGAACGATTAACAAAATTGCAATCAAGTACTGATTTCCCATACCCATGCTTGGTAATATGTTAGATATGCTTCTTGGGCCAAAGTTTTCTCAAAGATTGACTTCAGGAGCGGGTACCATCAAATTTGGATTCATCCTGGGATGAATGGAATACTGCATTCGAAACTCAAGATGGACTCTATGAGTGGCTTGTGATTCCATTCGGGTTTTCTAATGCACCAAGCACCTTCATCAGCCTAATGACTTAAGTACTTCGTTATTTTATTGGTAAATTTGTTGTGGTTTACTTTGATGATATCTTGGTTTTAGTGTTAACCCACCGAATCATCTAAATCACTTGGAACAAGTTCTTGATGTGCTAAGGAAGGAATCACTTTTTGTGAATTTGAAAAAATGCTCAATTTATGACGGACAATGTCGTCTTTCTAGGGTATGTTGTTTCATATGAGGAAATCAAGGTCATCAAGAAAAGGTGAAGGCCATAACTGAGTCACTGGTGCCAAAGTTACTCACTGAGTTGCGTTCTTTTCACGGCCTAGTGACCTTTTATCATCGCTTTATTAACAAATTCTGCACTCTTATAGCACCAATGACCGACTGTGTGAGGGCTGGAAATTTTTCATGGAGTCCTGCTGCTGAGAAGAGCTTCATTCTAATTAAACTAAAGATGATGCAAGTACCAGTACTCGCATTACCAGATTTTGCTAAGGTGTTTGAGGTTGAAACTGATACATCAAATATTGACATAGGGGCAGTTCTAAGTCAAGACTGGCGACCATTGGCTTTCTTTAGTGAGAAGTTGAATGAAGCACGTGAAAAGTTTTTTGTTTATGACCTTGAAGTTTATGAAGTGGTGCAAGACTTGCACTATTGGAGGCACTACTAGATCCATAGGGAGTTTAGTCTATACTCGGATCATGAAGCTCTCAGGTATTTGAATTCCTAGAAGAAGTTGAATGCAAGGCATGCTAAATGGATGGCTTCCCTTTCAGAATATACCTTCCTATTAAAGCACAAGGCTAGAACCCAAAATAAGGTAGCTGATGGTTTAAGTAGAAGAGTAGCGTTGTTTGGAACTTTGTCTATGGAAGTTGATGCATCCTTGAATCTAAAAAAGTTCTTGAAGGTTCCACAAAATCCTAGAACCAAATTAAGTCATTATCCTAGGAAGTTTCCTAGAAACTTCTCTAGAAATATCTAGCAATAAACTATTGTTTAAGGAAGTATCTAGGAACCTTTTCTAGAAACTTATCTAGAAATATCTAATCATAAACTATTTTTTAAGGAAGTATCTAGGAACCTTCTCTACAAATATCTAGCAATAAATTCTTGTTTAAGGAAGTATCTAGGAACCTGCTCTAGAAATATCTAGCCATAAATTATTGTCTAAGGAAGTATCTAGGAACCTTCTATAAATTTTTTTTATAAATCTCTAGTTTCTAGAATCATCTTCTTTAGCCTATAAATATCCCCAAAGGGGTCCATTTCCAACAATAAAGAATTGAGAGTCGCCTTTGAGCTTTCTTTAAGAGTGAGTGAGTCCTCTCCAAGTGGTGAATGATTCCCATGTGAGGTGGAGTGATTCCCTCATAGCTTTTTTTCTTTCTTGTAAAACAGTTGTATTACATCTTTTATTGAAATAAAGAGTGAAGTTTCATTGTATTTTGCCCTATTTCTCAGGCTTTATTTCAATGAAACTTCACTCTTTATTACAATGAAACTTCGCTCTTTATTGAGAGTTGCCTTTGAGCTTCTTTAGGACTGAAAAATAGGACACAATACAATGAAACTTCACTCTTTATTTCAATAAAATATGTAATACAACTGTTTTACAAGAAAGAAAGAAGCTATGAGGGAATCACTCCACCTCACGTGGGAATCACTCACCACTTGGTGAGGAATCACGCACTCTCAAAGAAAGCTCAAAGGCATCTCTCAATTCTTCGTTGATGAAAATGGACCCCTTTGGGGGTTATTTATAGGCTAAGGAAGATGTTTCTAGAGATTTATCAAGAAATTTATAGAGAAGATTCCGAGATACTTCCTTAGACAATAGTTTATGGCTAGATATTTCTAGAGAAGGTTCCTAGATACTTCCTTAAACAATAGTTTATTGCTAGATATTTGTAGAGAAGGCTCCTAGATACTTCTTAAGACAATAGTTTATGGCTAGATATTTCTAGAGAAGTTTCTAGAGAAGGTTCCTAGATACTTCCTTAAACAATAGTTTATTGCTAGATATTTCTAGAGAAGTTTCTAGGAAATTTCCTAGGATAATGACTTAATTTGGTTCTAGGTTTTTGTGGAACCTTCAAGATCCTCTTTAGATTTAGGGATGCATCAGTTACCCCCCTTTCAAAAGAACTCGTCCTTCAGTTATCAACCATGGACCTCCATATTTCCAAATTAGTCTCTTTTAATTGCTCCTCTATTAGCACGCGTCCTCAGATTCAAGTTTGACTGCTTTTTCTATTGATGAGGGAGTGTAAGATGTAAATTGGTAACTATGTATGGACATATGGAGTATGGAGTAGGAGAATGTATGTGGAGTTGTGGGCTGTGGACATTTGATATGCGCTAACTCCTATGTTTTGTTTCTTTCCTTTTCTTGATGATGAATCAATATCTTTTCTCGATGATGTGTGTGGAGTTTGGATTATAGTATGGACTATGGAGTATCGTCTAATACTCTAATGTCTAATGGTTTGAAGTTTGAACTTTGATTTTTGAATTTGAAATGTAGGGAATTATGGACTAATGAACTATGGATGGACTATATATTATCTATTATTAATGTATTATATGTCTCATTATGTATTGTTTAATTCTTTACAAAAAATTTGACCCTAAAACTGTTAGATAATTAGATATCCCATGCTTTTTATTCTACTGGGCTGCTCAGGTTTTGGGCGGCTGCTTAGACACTGGGCGGCCTGCGCCCCTCCAGGCCTCCTAGGCGCCGCACGACGTTTTTTGGAACACTGGCTGGTGCAACAGTTTGCGAGCATCATTCATGGCAAAGACGGTGATCTTTTTGTCAAAGAAAATGTTGATCTGTTCTTCACATGATAAAGAAACTAATATATGACCTAGACTTGGGGAATCTCACTCTAGGGTTTTCAATTTGAAGGACATTCTTGATTTTGACGCAGTTCGATTGGGATCTGCTACCAATATTCGATACATACTTCGATGAAGAACAAAAACTTGTAGGAGATCCAATCTATGATGATGATTAAGATTTCATGGTTAAATTGATTTTTGATGAAGATAAAGATGGACTTTAAGGAGAATCAATAGCTGAAGTTATTGCTTCAGTCATCGAATCTAGCGCTCGTCTGGAAGATGCACCTGAGGTATGTTCTAGGGGTGAGCTTGGGCAATTTTTGAAAGGTTTATGATTGAACTGATGCAATTTCAACAAGTTCATATAGCTGAATAGACTCTATCGACATGCGATGATCCTTTTATCAAGGGTTCCTCAAAAAGCAATGTATCGAGACTCGGCCGAGGCCAATCGAACTCAACCGAGTTGCTCGAGGGCGAGTTTCACTTGATTAGGCTTTACCGATTTATAAATAGTAAATATATATTATTATGTCTACTATGTCATAAAAGCTTGAAAGGCCTTTTGGGTAGCGTAAACGCATGCTTGTCAATAGGGTTGGGGTTCGAATCCCCCAGGTAATGCTGCCCTACTCCTATTTTTTAAGATTCAAGAATAGGAGCTTGAACTAGGAAAAAAAAAAAAAAGCGCCTCCGAGAATCAAACTCAAGACCTCATACAAAAATGCATCTTGACATAGGGCGGCCTAACCAGCATGCCATTTGCTATTTGCTTAAGAAAGCTGGGCGCTATATTATATATACCATGTTTTTTTCTTTATTTTCTTAAAAACAAATTGAGCTTGACTCAGGTGAGTTACTCGGACTTGCCCAAGTAACTCGCCTAGGCCAAGGCCGAGTCGATTTTTTGAACATTGCTCTAAAGTGTTTGTAGAGATATCATTTGATTGCAAGGACTTAGTTTCAATTCATAATCTGTGTTTTGATTAGTGCAATAACAAGTCCCAAGATCATGTTTACAGTATTCAAGTTGAAAAAGGTTGCGAGACTAATGCAAATCTCTTCTTAACACACTTCAAACCTCAATGATGAGTTTTCTCTAACTAGGGGAGAATGAGGAGGACAAATTATTCGTATTTTTAATATTTGTTTAATTTCAAAAGTTGTATATTTTAATATAGTTATACAGTTATTTTTTAAGGTTTTAAAGTTTTTTAGGGTTTTAAAGTTGTTTAGGACATCTAGGTTTTTTTTTAACTTTTGTTTACTATTCATGGGTGCTATTGATAGATACTCTTCATGGGTACTGTTCATGGGTCGTTGTTCATAGGGGTAAAATTGTTATTACAAATTGTGTTTAAGTCTGGACTTTTTGGGTCACCTTGAACATTAAATATTTTTATTTAAGTGGTGCATGGAGCCTAGATGGGTCATTCTATGTGAGTTTTAGAAATTGAAAGAAAGAAAAGCTTAGACTTTTGAGACCCGAGTTGAGTTAGGGAAGAAAGCCTAGGTTCCTTCAGATTGTGCCTTTTTTTGGCTTGTCGCTTGCTGATTTTTTTGCTTTCTCAAACTTCCTGCATCATGTTTTGAGACATATAGATCAAATGCCATGCTTCCCGAAATTTGTGTAAGACGAGAAATTTCATAGATGTAAAGTTTGTTAATAAGAAGTGGTAACTATTGAGTTGTTGAACTTGGGTGAACCTATCCATGCTAGTGCGTTGGATTCTTTGGGCTGTTTGTGAAGTACTTGGAGTGCGCAATATCACTGTCTTTGAGGTTGCAATTTGTCTTGGATAGGTCGAATGCATAATGAGTAATTACATAATATCCTTATCTTACTCTGTGCTTTTATGAACCTCTCCATGCATTTTGCTAATCACATGAGGAACCTAAGGACCTTTGCATGTCATGATGAAGGTAGATCCAGATATGTTGGAAGTGGGCAATGGAGGGATGAGCATTGAGGAATATCGTTCACATTTCAGTATATGGGCCATAATGAAGGTGCACTATAAGCTATATTTTTTGTTTTTCTTGTTTTCCCTTTTAAAATTGTTCACTTATGGATACATTCCATATGATTCAGGCTCCTCTCTTAATTGGTTGCGACATCAAATCTGCAAGCAGAGCGATGCTTCGAATCCTTGGAAACAAAGAGGTGATCGATGTCAACCAGGACCCTCTAGGAATCCAAGGGCGTAAAATCAGATCACGAGCTGACCAGGAGGTAACCTCTATGATCTATACTGAAAATGCTTCAATGAGCCAATATTGGATTTGAAGGAAGTTGAAGACGTGCTGTTCAATGGATGGAAGGAATAGTGTTATGAGAATAAGAGCCTCAACTAAAGCTTAAGGATAGTTCTCAAAGAATATTTACATTAGAATAACCTCTCAAGAGAGGACAAATTTTTTTGGGAATATTTATCCCTTGGATTGGTGAATGTTGGTTTTGAACCCAAGATCGTAATACTGCAAAGTGCAAACTCTATGCCCTAACCACTTGTCCAATAGGCCAAAGATTGATCTTTGTGGAACTTTCTTGATTTTTTACTTTGCTTTCCCTTTCATGTGGTTTTCAAGTTTTACTCTTATGCAGGTCTGGGCTGTGCCGCTCTCTGGGAGGAGAATAGGCATAGTTCTGTGGAACAGGAGTTGGTCTCGAGCCCCATTCACTGTCAGTTGGAGGGAGCTTGGATTGGCACCATCTGCCCCTATGCTTGTAAGGGACTTGTGGTTGGTAAGCCTTTTTTTATTCTCCCCTATTTTTGTTTTTTAAATGTTAATTTGGGACCTCGGTAGGAATGAAACTCTAGACATCATGTCTTGCACCCTGTCACCTTGACCACCCCTTGCTGGCTTTCTATCTACTTTTTCTCCTTTTTTAAATAATTTTCTATCCAATGTATCTCTCAATGGAAGGGTGTTCAAGAGACATGCAGTTTCATTAGGCTTTAGTTACTTATTTAAATGTAATTCTTTTCATGCAGCACAAATTTGTCTCGACGAGACAACGTTACCGGTTGACTGCAATTGTGAGTCCTCATGCTTGTAAGATGTATGTAGTCTCTGCACAAACCCAATCACTCCTTGAAACGAATGGAAGCCAGTGGTCTATGCCTGCATTTCTTCCTTGAGTTCCGTGAGTTCTTTAAGGGGATTGCTCAAATTAAGGCTTTCTACATGTTCGAAGATCATCCATACAAAAGAAAAGAAATGAAAGATTCTGGAGGAATTTGAGGGCTAGCCTCCACATCCTCGACCATTTTTAATGAATTTTTGATCTAGAATAAAGAAATAAAAAGAAGAGAAGGTATCTATCTGGGGGCGTCTGTTGAGTAACGGCAACATGTCCGCTTCCATGCTCAACAAAAAACTTGAATTTTTAAATTCATCCAAAATTTATGTCATTTGGAGTATGTGGAGGTCTTTGTCCATGATTCCAATATATAACATTTTAGATCAGGAAGTAGTATGTTGTAATTGGAGGGTCCATATTAAAAATGTGAACTACTTTTGCACATTCAAGTGTCTTCCGTTACTGATTATTTGGGCATCAAGGTGCATGTACAAGCTGGACCAAGTCAAAGAGGTTCATGTACCATCCTGAAACAACTGCAGGGGTCTAGTTTCACAAGTTCAAGCGACAGCTCCTAGGCCTAGTTTGATAAGTTCTGAGTTGTTCATCAGTGTGAATTGGTTTCATCTTTTGGTGCTATGTATCTTTGTTTACCTTTGTCAAGCTTGCTGCCAAAGGATAGATGGTCATTCATTTGTAGTTGTGTGATGCTCTCCATGTGAAATTCTAAGGTGCCGAAGGTTCTTGTAATGGTTGAGAAGAAGATTTTGGATAACTGTAACATTTTCTTTTTAAAATGTAATTCTCTGAAATGTGAAGGCCATGCGATAACATATCGGTTGTCCCAGTGTTGCAGGTTATGCAGTGGTCATGTTTCAAAGTAACATTCATTGATTTCTTGGAACATCCTTTTGTTTGCATTGGAACTATTAGATGCATGTGCAGTTTCCGGGACATATATGCAGCTAGACACCCTAGATAATTTTCAGTACTTTTTTGAGGGGAATGATGAGTTGGGAAAATCTCCTGCCTATTCTGTGGGTGGAGTTTACACCCGTTGGATTCTTTCCATCTTTTAAATGAGTGGTACTTCGATAGCTACAACTTGAATCCCCATCCCAATCTCAAGGTTGGATAGGAAGCCTATTGTTGTGAACCTTTTCCTACATGAAAAATGGTAAGCAATTTTTGAAAGGGAGCATTTCCTTCTCTTTTGAAATCAATGGAGAAACACAGGGAAAGAGAACTAGTCTCAAATCAGAGCATCTTGTCTCAAATGCTGCTGGATCACCTCTCACAACAAGTTTGAAACTAAAAACATGCTCTCAAATGCGCTTTGATCACCTTCTGGGCTTTAGCATTAACATGGATTTTGAACCTTATGCCCAAGACCACTAAAATTCATCCAATGGGAATTCCTCAGGAATAACATAATAAATTAACAGCAAATGACCAGGGAAAAAAAAATCTAATAGCCCATGGAATTTCAGAGTTGTATTTCATCTCTTGGCATTGTCATGGAGTTTAGAACAAATATAGTTACTCCAAAGGATTACAAGTTCATCTCAAAGTCCAATTCATACCTGAAATCTTTAAAAAGTGGAGAACATGGTATTTTGTTTAAGCTGGATATGGAAAAGGTTTATGATAAAGTCGAGTTGTTGGAGGTTATGATTCATATGAGTTTTGGAGAGACATAGAGGAAGTGGATTTGGGGTTGTCTGCGCTAATTTTCTAGTGCTCATTAATAGGTCTCCTAGGGGTTTCATTAGGGCAACCAGAGGAATCAGGCATATTGATCCATTATACCCATTTTTATATACCTTGGTTGCATAGGCTTTTAGTTTAATGAACTCCAAGGTAGAGAGGATGGGTAGATTTGGTGGTTTTTTATATTAATGTTATATAAAGGTAATATTGAAATTAAGAACAATCTATGTGACTTATATTGAATCAAAATAAATGAAATTTAAAACTAAAATTTTATAATTCCATTGATAATTTAATATTTGACTTACAAAGTAATAAATAGTTAATTAAGATTCAAAGTTAACATTTGGTTAATAGGAATGAACTTATTAATTTGATTACCGAAGTGTCAATTGAATAAATGAAAATGTGAGTGATTTTTACACCTTTTACAAAAAAATAATTTTATTTATGAATAAAATTTATGGTTTAAATTTAAATTTATTTATTAATTGTGATATTACTCAATTATAAATTTTAATTTGTAGTTATAATATTAATCTCATTTATAAATTAGTTTTTAAAAAATTGATATTTTGAAATTTTTTATAAGAAATTTATATTTTTAAAAGAAATATTTAAAAGTAATATGAAAAATAAAATTGAGTTAATATAGATTTAATTACATTAGGGAACAAGCATGAGCAGCCATGGAAGCGTGCTTTGATTCATGGTTAATATTGTTGCCATGGATCCAAAGGAGAACAAGGATCCATGCCCACCAGATCCATTATTATCTTCTTACACTCTTGCAACTTATTCTACTGGTTTAAACTCTTCTTCATCTTCCTCAAATCCACTTGCTGCTACCATTCCCTCTTCCTCTAATTTTACTGAGTTCACTCCTTTATCTTCTGATATTCCAAATCGTGTTAGATCAACTGATGCGGGAGGTGACAAAGCTAGTAATGAGCAGCAGCTTCAATTTCTCTGTTTGGTGAACAAGGGGTTCAAAATGGCATAATTTCTTTCGATGATCTTGAGATGGTTCCACCACAAACTGTCGATCTCAAGCCAAATGCTGTCATATATATATATATATATATATATATATATATATATATATAGTAGTAGTTACGTTCGTAGGTAGGTAACGGTCGTAGTAGTTAGTAAGTTATAGTAGTAAGTAGTAATTAGTAGTAGTACGAGTAGTAGG